TTCTCAGGGAATGGAACCTTCTACTCACTCAACAGAAGATAGCACTTAGAAGGCAATCCATTAGTCGTGCTGACTGGGAGAAGCTTCCATGGACTGGACATAAACAATCAAACATTGAGGCCATGGAAGGTTATTTGGATTCTTGTCGACGACATTGGACAGACTGGATGCGAGGTCAAGTTGAACCAGCAGGTTGGGAAGACAGGTTCAGTATCAGCAGAGAAAACTGGAGAGAGAAGTTCTTGCTATATGAAAGAGACTTAGCAATACAGAAGGACATGGAATATCTCTCAGAAGCAGTCTGATCAGTTCATTAGAGAGAACAACAAGCTCTGGGGAGATTTCTGCAAGAGAAAGGTGGACCGTGATGGAAACATTTTGGATGCACTGGAGTTGAACACTCATGGGTATGACATGACTATTCAAGGAACAACAGTTCCCATGAACAAGAGAACAGTCATCCCAGAACCTGAACGGCATTTCTCTTTTTCCACAAAAATGATGATTATGGCAATCGATTTGTATGAAGATGAAGCACCTGCTAACTTTTGCCATTTTACCATCTTTGCTCTCAACAAGCTTCGACAATTTGTGGATAGCAGAAAGGAGTTGACAGCTCAGTCTTACAGATTCTTTGTTGAACATGCCTACAACCAGTTCTTTCAGCACGAAGCATTCCATCAATCTGCCCGAGCAAGAACAAAGGTCAGGGAATGTGGTACAGGTGACTTCCATATATCTACAAAGCTTGATGGATATATCTGGATATTCCAGAAACAGAGAAGGCTAATGTTGACATGGAAGATCACGATGATGATGATGCTGGTGAAGAACTTGAGTTTTTGCCAAGATTACATGTTTTTTGTCAGGCCTCAGGAAGAGAAAAGTGGAAGCTCTCAAGAGAGAGAGGAACCACAACAACAGCCAGAAGAAGTTGTTGCATCTGAAATTCAAGTAGAACAAGAAGATGATGTGGTACCAGATGCAAATCCTCGAAGAAATCCTGAAGACCGACATGGACTATTTTTAGTCAGGCAACTCAAACCAGAGCACAGAAGTATCCTACATGAGATTGCACTCGCAGGTCAAACAGTCCTTCATCCTGATGACTTGGAAGGAGGTCAACCCTTAGAGCGTGGTGACATCAGTTATTTCTCCTTATGGTTGATGATGTCAGTAGTGGCAGATGCTCCATTTTCAACATGTATGGACCAATATGCACCGTCGATGGGTTATGAGATCTCCTGGGAAAAGTTTCATGAGTTCAAACTGGATGTTACAACGGTTCTCAAGGACAGTGAGCACATCACTGCAGACAATTTCCTTGATATGGAGGATCCAGATTTGGTGGACGATGATCCAAATACTCCTCTTCCTGATCTTCAAGGACAAGGTAGTGCCGATCCTGAGTACAAGAACACTATTGAAAGTTTGAACATTGAGGACAAGCATATCATTTTGGAAACTGATGATGACAAATTGGTTGAGTGTACTCTAAGATGGATGAGTATGTGCAACAAGAATGTTCAGCAAAAGATCAAACAGAGCTTTGTCAAAGAAGAGGCAAAACAGGAAGAAGAAGAAGAGGAGATTGTGGTCGAAGAGGAAGAAAAAGACACACAGGAGCCACATGTCCCAGCTGGAAGCTCTTGTGAGAAAGAGGAACCAGCTCCACCTGAATGCTCCTCAGAGAAGGAGGAATCAGGGGAGAAGAAGACAAACATTCAAGATGATGAGACAGCTCCTGAGGTGAAACCTGCACAAAGATTTTACTATGGTCAAGATATCACTGGAAACGAAGATGATTCAGTTTTTCGAAAATTGAAGGATTGTTTTACAGATGGTTACCATGGTGAATGGGCAGGATTTTACAATCAAGGTTATCCAGCATCCTCGAAACATCGACATATGTTTTGGCATGTAAAGTACAGGAAGACTATGTCTCCACATCAAGATTATTGGTACCATCTTACAGATGAACAGTTGATGGCCGAGTACATTGCCAGACATAAAGATCAACAACCATCACAAACTAGATCATCTCAAGAACAACATCGAATATGGTTGTAGTGATCCAAAGATGCATCCTCTTCATCAAAACAAATCAGAAGAAGCCTCAAAAGAAGCAGAAAGAAGGATTGATGACGATTTTGGAAACCTGACAAAGGTACTTCAATCTTATGTTGAGGACCACAAGGTCTTGCCTTGTTGTATGATCTTGCACAGCTTGGCTTACAGGTATTTAGGTGGAGGCCTACTAGACCCAACATACAGAGATGATGAATTTCCATACAGATCCTCTTCCCAGATTACAATGATGTTTTGGAATTTGGGAAACTGGTGCAGAAACAGATTTGAAAAATGCCCTGTCCCAGAAAGATTTCAACAATTCATTCCACACATTGATTACAGTATTGATGAAGAACATGAAAAATTTGATGAGAACAAGACTCAGTTCAACAATTACTTCATCAACGTCATCAAGAACTTTGGAGGACATCTTTTCATGAATTGCGAAGCTGGTTCACTATATCCTCAAAGAGAAAGACTCGAAGAGGTGCAGTTTAAAACTTGCTTCAATGACTATCATGACTTGATGGTGGCAGCTCGCATAGGAAAGGACGGCAGTATCAGGCAAATTGCTGGATATCACACAGACGACAACGACACACGAGTTCGACAAGTCTCATGGGCAATCTTTGAAGTATCTTGGGGAAAGACAAAGGACCGTGATACAGATAAGATTATTGACTTGACACGAGCCAGGATGAAGATGACACGTGTGTGCGTTTTTCACGTTGGACAAAAATATGCATCAGACTCTCCTGGTATTGTTGGTGAGTGTTTAGCTGTTATGGCTTTTGAGTGTGCTAGATATCAAGTTGACGTCATCGCAGGTGATGGAAACAAGGCATGCTATTACACCACACCAAAATCTCCAGGTGTCCCTACATATCAACACAGCCTAATCCAATTCTGGATCAACAGAATGATGGGTGCTGCAACACAAGCCCTACGCAAGAATTTTGATTCAACATACCCTCCAGTCAGGGTCAAACACTTCATTTCTTGCAGTTACCGGGATCTTGATTTTCTTGCAACGCACTTGGATGGCATTACAACAGTTTCATATACCGACGAGCTCGTGAAGAAGACATCGGGCAAAGGTGATTGTTGTATGCTGACAGTTGTTGAGTGGGGTCATTCACGTCTGGTGTGTGAGGAATACCCTGAATACTATGAAGATGAAGATCACATGAACTATGTGGGTGAATTTTACTTCAAAGTAAATGAAACTTGCTTACATGGTGATCACAATATCTTTATGGTTGCTCCAAATGATCGTGATGCACACAATCCAATTCTTGTTCATCTAGATCCTTCTGACATGTCGTGGAATGAACGACATCATTACAAACAAGCTAACCAGAAGATGAAGTATGCCGCTACAAGAAAGGAAAGACAGAAGGAGAAAAAGAGAAAGGCATATGAAGATCAAGCATCAACGTATCAGGGCAACACTGGTTGGGGTGGATCCTCATCTTCTTCGTCCAGACCATGGAGACAAAGTGATTGGCGATGAGTGAGTGTATACTTCTTTAAATGAAGATAACACAGCATGAGAGGCCGTGTACAGTTTTTCTGTGCATGAACCTATTTCCACAAGATGGCATATACTCTTTTAGATAGAGACAATGCCACAAGTGTCCGAACTTCAATTTAATGTAAAATAGATACTCTTGTAAATAGAGATACTATACACATTTATCTCCATGAAACTTTCTGTGAGCAGACCACTCCGAATGGAGCGAACTCCAAAACTTACTAACTTCGATTTCTGTCCATTGTTCGCTTGAATGAGCAACTTTGGAGATCCGCTATTTCCGTTTATTTCGTGATTGGGTCAATTGTTTTTCGTATGACCGGAATTTCTGAATCTTGCAAACCGAACTTTTCAATTCGAACTTTCACCGGTAGAGCAAGGCATTTTGCCTGTGGAGAGACCGTGCGCGAAGCACCATTGGTCGCTACTGGAAAAATTAGCGAATCCGCTGTTCTTTTTCGGCATGTCTTTAGGACATTCCCTGCTTTCACGTGTTTTTCAATTCGAAGCCACTGCGTAACTCCGGTTTATTTTTGCTATTTGCCATTGTGTAGAAAAGACAGGAAGATACTCTTAATACCAATTGGGTACGACAAGGCGTAGTGCGCTACTCATTGCTTTTGAATTTGTGCCTGTGTTTTTGTTTCGACCTAATACCTACAGAGGTACATGCATGAGTATTGAGCACATTTATATGCGCCCCTCAAGGCTCAAGAGGTATATAGAGTAACCCTGTGGACAAGCACTGACCGGCAACAGGCTGAGAGTAAAAGGTGCTGTCATTGGGGAAGACGCCTTAGCTGATCTTGAAGTAGACGCTAGGGCCCCTCTTCAGCCCTCCCCCCAACCCCCCCCCCTCCCGCTTCTTGATTCAAGCCACATTTTTGTCCCCCCCTCCCGCTTCTTGATCATACGTGTTGATCCTTATTTATGATCAGCTAAATCATTTATGTTTTTTGATCCTTATTAATGTTTTTTTGATCCAGCCTGGAATGGGCGCAACCCCTACCCTTCTCACAAATGGTCTCCTAATTTTTTTTGATCCCTAATTAATGTTTTTTTTGAACTCGGCTAAAAATGTTTTTTTTGGTCCCTAAAAATGTTTTTTTGATCCTTCTCCCCAGAAGGACATCCACATGTGCCGTCTGGGATTAGTTGATCACGTGTTTAGCAAGCCCCGCAAGAAGCCGACAGCGATTCAGATGAACCGCCCGATGATCGTATCGCCTTGATTTCCCAAGATGAGGTGCAACCATCAACCGGGAGAACATCAACCGATCGAGGGGACGGTGTCATTGTGGGACCGAACGAACCAAAGAGATGTGGCCATCCATCGACCGACTTGGCAGCAATGTGGACGCCTCAGTTTTGTAGATGGATATTGATGGGGCTGGAGGCAGCTACGTTGGAATCCTCCATTGACGTCAACTTGGCGCTACATGCTCAAGTACTTGACAGCCGGATGTGGGAGGCTGTTCCAGTGGAGGTGGAGGCCGCCCCTGACGGACAACCCCGTCAACATCTGCAACAACAAGAGAGCCAGCAGTTTGTGGCCCGGTATGACTACATCAGCTTCTCTGACAATGCGGCGATGGTGAACAAGTCCATTCACGCTTGCATGTGGCCATAGGGCATGTGACAAATGAGAAGCTTAAACGGATGTTGTCCTTGAATGGGGCCAAGCAGGAGTTGCTGAACATTGTGTTGCGTTTGGAGCGCCAAATTTGCAAACAGGTGGCACCTCCACAGGCCGCTCCCATAGCGGCCTTTCATCGACCCATTTCAATCAACGACCGGGTGGTGGCCGACCCCTTCTTTGTTTGGGATGAGTCGGGTGAGAAGTTTGTTGTGGCTCACCTGTTGGATGCCTTCGCCCTCTACCAGATCGCGGTGGCAAGAATCCCGATGCGGAGGCGACCGTGGTGATGATTCGGGACCGTTGGGTCCTCCGAATGTTCTGATGACGGATCAGGGATCAGAATTTCGAGGACAATTGGAAGCCCTACTCCACTCGTTTGCAGTGTTCCATGACATGGTTCCTCTGACTGCCCATTGGAGAATGTCGCGGGCTGAACGCCATGGAGCGGTTCTGAAAGTCTTCTTGATGAAGGTCATCAAAGAGGCTTGGAAGCTCTACAATCGGCGGTGGTGGCAGTGACTGCTGCCAGGAACAATCAATCCAGAGTGGCTGGTTTTCCGCCGGTGCAATTGGTGTTTGGCAAGGACCACGGAAGCCTTGAAGAAAACACCTGGATCCAGAGCGAGACTTCCTCGATTAGAGCTGCTGGCGGAGGGTGCCCAGGTGATGTTTTGGGAACCTCCTCCACACCGTCGTGGCCTTGCCCGAAGATTACAAGATCAGATATCTTGGCTAGGTCCGGCAGTTGTGGCTGCTATCGAACGCAAATAGGGGGCCATCAAGAAGGTTTGGATCAGATACCAGAACAACTTGAAGGGCGTGCCTTTGGAGTTCGTCCGACTGGCGGTTGCTGAAGAGCAAGAAGCTTCTGCCGTTTCAGCCAGAGCTTTGAAGGACTTGATCATCGTCATCATCGTCATCTTCGTCATCCTGCTGATGCTCCTGCCAAGGAAGTCTTGAAGAAGCCTCGCCAGACTAAGGGGAAGAAACCACAAAAGGCGACGGTTGATCCAGAGCATAGGAATTCAGTGATGAAGAAGATCCTAGAAAAGTTCCATCTCGATGGATCACAGCTGAGGAGTGCAGCTTCGCCCTTGGACGATGTGCCGCTCTTCAGGCGAAGAAGGGGCAGTCTGGACCTGCTTCTTCAAGCCGGAAGCGCGCGGCTGATGATGATCCGGCGCTTCGACCGTTCCAAGAACGGAGATCCCACTTCGATGCGGCCATGAAGCGTACCCAGAAACATCTGAAGTCCATGAAAGAGAAGTTACAACCGAAACCGGTTCAATAGGCTATGCCAACGCAGAGGACAACTACGCAGAGGCTGTCTGCGATGGTGACCGATTCGGTTGCTCTTTGAGAGGAACTATTCGTCAATGTGGAGCGCTTCGACAACCAGGCGGACTTCTCAGACTCAGATGCAAGTTTGATGTCAGCGCTGGCCAATTCGTTGGGCAATGGTGTCCTGCAGCATCTGCAGCGCCGCTCCATTGAAGATCTGCAGGTGGCGCCTTTGGGGGAACATCCCGAGATTGGCCAGTCAGTCTTGCGAGAAGAGCTAGCGACATATATTGCCGAAGGAAGATATTATGAGCGCCAGTGTCCACCAACTCCATCTACCAGAATGATGGTTCCGCCTCCGATGATTCACATGCTTCACAATGCAAACTTCACAATCCAACGAGCTATGGCAGGAGTTTTGCTAATGGTTGGCTGGGATCCGGGCCACTCAGGTCTACTACCTCTTCAACCCCAACAGGCCTCAACGTGCGCCGATAGGTCTGTCCGCCGAGCTCATGGATCCTATACTGGTTCAAGGAGTCGTTTTCACGAGTTCATCGTGGACAGTGCGCTGGTCGGGCAGGAACACACAACAGCATTTGGGTGGACCATGGCATAGAGTCGTCCGCTTTGAGCTTCAAGATCCTTACGAGTTTGAATCTCATGTGGTCAAGCGGTTGGAAGCTCGACGCTTTGTGGAAGATGCATGGCTTTCAGGCCAGTGGTTGGTTCAGTCCTTTTGGGAGCTTCAAGATGCCGCTGGCTGGCCGAATGACATTGCGGTGACTCAATACTTGGGTCCACCCGAAATGGAAGAAGTTCAACATGTGCTTTTCGAGAAGTGGGTGAAGCTCGTGATGCGTTAATGAAAACACAACAAAAACTCTAGGAGGTCTTTGGGACTTTTGTGAATGTCACCGAGATTGCGTCTCCTATCGTCCATCCTTTGCGCCGAGGCATCACCGAATTCACCCACTTGCCTGAGGAGATTGTCTCCAAGCCGGAGACGGGAAAGGTCAGACCCCAATTTGGCAGGACCTTTCTCACAAATGGCAGCAAGCCTTTGAAGCTCCGATTTTGGAGGCGCTTCGCATCTATTTTCACCATGATGCTCTTCAACCAGTGACGCCAAACGAAGTGGTGGAGGCTTCCGAGACTTTGCCTTCTCGTTTTGTCTTGGTGAACAAGACCGATCCCCGCAATGTCCATCCAACTGATGCCGACGCTCCGCAACGCCAAGCTCAAAGCTCGCTTGGTCATTGCCGGTCACAAGGACCAAAAGGCCGGGGAATTCGAAACTGAAGCACCTACGGCCTCTCTTTTGGCGCGCAACGTGTTGTGCTTCCTGGTGGTGCAATGTACTTTGCCGACATCTCTGCGGTCTTCTTGCGAGGCGACTACTTGCCCAAAGATCGAAGAATCTTTATCCAATGCCCCAAGAACTATCCCTGGTTTGCGAGGAAGTTTTCGATGGATCCGTTTCCTCGAGGTGCCAGGACCGATCTCTTTCGGATGAAGAAGGCGGGATTCGGCCTGGCTGAATCACTTCGATTCTGGTTCAAGAGGTTCAAGCGGGGTGCTGAGTCCATTGGTGGCAGGGAGATGAAGCTTTGTCCTGGGTTTTTCTCCTTCTCTGGGGGGTTTCACATTGGTGGCTATTTTGGCGGTGCGTGTGGAGGATGTGCGCCTCATTGCTGCCCCGGAGTGCCAGGAAATGATCCGGGCCAGGTTGGGCTCTTTGTTCAATTTCGTTGAATGGCAACATCCAAAGGATTGGGCCAAATTCTGTGGAAGGTATGAGCGGCAAATGCCTGACAGCCCAGTGTTGGTGCAACAGGACGCCTATGCGTAGAAGCTGAAGGATCCAACTCAGAGAGGCCCTAACCAGACCCAATCAGAAGGAATGGGCCAGACAATGTCGTGCTGACTTGACGTTCGGGGTGTGGAGAGTAGCTCTGTGGAGTAGATGATCCGTTTGGTGGAGCTGAAGGTGCTGGTGGAACCCGGTTACAGTGAAGTTCGCCTCCATCGGATGCGACTCGGACGACATGGTGGTGATTGGCGTTTCAGATGCATCATTTGCTGGGATGCCTCGTGGACGATCTCCAGGTGGTATGGTGTTGGCCTTCGCAAATCCAGGTGTGTTGGAAGGCCCTGACAGGTTGACCGTCATCACCTACCATCAAGCGAGTGGTCAGGTCCAGCTGGCTGCTGAGACCTCAGGCAGCACACTACATCAGAGCGTTCTTGGTGGAGATGATATATGCCGACTTCACCGTGAAGGCATGGATGACTATGGTGGCCCGATGGAAGGCCATCTTGGCCCGGACGGGATTTGATCTACTGAATGGCGCGGCGCTTGGAGAAGACAAGCGCCTTGCGATTGACATCGCAGCCATGCGCCAGGCTCTTGAGGAGGATGGGGCCCTAGATTGGTCAGATGGGCGCCCGGTGAAGAGATCCCTGCAGATGATCTTACCAAGCTGAACAGCAACGTGCGATTGCTGCAGGTGATGGCGGAGGGGATTTGGGCGCCGAAGGATTCAGCTGTAGCCAAGAAGCTTAGCGCCGATGCTGCTGCCCGGAAAAAGTCGTACCGGTAGCGGATGTTTGCCGGTCGCAGGGATGCTGAACAGATGCGAGGGCAGTAATACCATTCCTTGCTCCAAAGGGGGTAGGTGTGGTTGATTCGGCTTTACCAGCCGACGGTGGCTTCAGGAGGGAAAGAGTAGTTGGAGTTTTTGGGGCGGTCGGGCCTTTTCAGTGTTATTGAGATATAGATCCAAAACACAAAGAGCCATTGAATGCACGCATATCTGTTGAGCCTCCGAACTGCTGGAATTTGGGGCAGCTGTGCAGGGTTGTGGTGGGCTTTGTGAAGAGCGAGGGTCTGCCGTATGTTTCATGTGATTAAGATCCAGAATCAGCCGTACATTTTAGGGGATTTTGACATCTTCATTTAATGGAGACCTCGAGCAGTACATGTTTGAGATACCAACTCACGTTGACCACACGGTGGAGTCGACCTTTCTAATCTTAATTCTTCACCGAAGACATGTTTCGCATAGGTCCACGCCATGTAGGCCCTCTAGTGTTGTGGTAGAGGGTCTTCAATGACCACAGTAGCAGCTAGGTGCACAGTGAGACAATGACCTGAGCTAGTCCTGGGAGGTGCTGGTGCAGTAGGCTCAATGTTCAACGCTGCTTCGCTTCAACCCACCTGGAAAGGAGACGGTTGGCTTCGATCACGTCGATATGCACGTGACGGATGTCATGATCACATGGATAGGATCAGTCGTGCGACAGACATGTCGGGAGTTCCTTGCCTCGCAAAGTGTCCGTTTGAGTTGTTGAAGACGCAATGCAAATAGAAACCGTTTCAACGCGCTCTAGGCGGAGACGTTGTACAAATGCAAGGATTCTGATGCTGTTTGACAAGTTATTTTAGCGTTCATTCTGACCCTACACTTGAAACATGTTAGAACGAGGGAAAAAATGAGGGAAAAATGTCAGAAATTGGGCAACCGAAATTTGACCCCCATGATGCATCTGGTGGCCAGCACTGAAGACATCGTGACCACTCGACACCATGGGTGCAGCATGTTGCGTGATGTTGCGTTTTATTTGCAATCTGTGAACAACATTCAGTTTGTACTCAGTGGACTTCTTTCCAGAAGGCTCTATTGGATGCCAAGGTTGCTGGACACCGCACTGGCACAGAGCAAGAAGGTCAGGAAGAAAGATCGGCGCCCCTAGTAAAGAAATTCAACTGACTGGAAATGTAACTTGTTGCCGCAAGGCCCGTTGCTTCATTGCAAATTCACAAGTCACCGCATGTTGCTAGTAACTTCATTTGGATTTGTTTGGTCAATTTTGTACGTTCGACTGAAGCGAGTTGTCTGGGAAAATTGATCCTGAGGTAGAGATTGCCGAGGCTACCAGACAGCGGCAAGCGGATTTCTCTGCGATGGTGAGGCGAAAGGGTCTGTGAGTCGTCTTTTTTCGGTTGAAGTTTTCGACATTGTAACATCATGTAACATCGCAACATATCGCACGAGTCGGTGACAGAACATCGGCAACGGCTGTGGATATTTGCAAGCGAAGCCAACTGGCCTTCCTCGTGAGGCCAGCCCTGCCGAACTCATTTCCTCCCTGTGAAGTTTTGCCAGGCTTTGAAGAAACGGAGACAGAAGCGGTGCTCTTCAGTGCATGTGCTTTAGCGATCCTATCGAGAAGATCAAAGATATCCAGAACCAATTGATGCACTTTATAAATGGTCTATTAAGTATGTCACATGTCACCACTGGATGACCCCACTTGAGTCACTATCTCTCGAGCTTGATTTCACCCTTCCAGCACCCTTTTTCATGACCAGGCATTTGCATTTTTTTCAGTCACAAGCTATGCCAGAAGTGCAGTGAAATACCCTCAAGACCGCCAATTTTGAGCGCTGCCAGAAGTGCAGCAGAAGCTTCTGCATAGTTGAACTTAGATGCACATGCCGGCGCCGACTCGCCGACATCAGTGATCACCATGAAATTGGTGTTTTGCTGTGGTGCTGACCTCGAAATTAGCCAGGAGGCTGTAGTTTTCCTATTTTTGTTGCAAGAGTTGAGAGTGATATCCGCAGAGATTGGCACTTGGTTCTGCAACTACTTGTCGCTTCAGCGAAAGATTTCAAGAATTGTTCCAGGATACAACCTTAAAACCGTAAAACCTTATCAATTCCAGCAACCCGAAGGTGTCCATTGAAACGCAAAGTCCCCGGGAGACCGGCTGGGTCCTTCGGGTCAGAGAGCGCCCAAAAAATTGCCGCAGAGCAGTTGCAGGAACTCAGTGAGGGTTTCTTTACTTGGGGATGCTTAAGGCTTAGAGTTTCTCTTGCGAGGCCCCAACCCTGTTTTGATTTGACTCGAACAAGATGCCCATCGTGGTGTCATCGCCCACCAAAGGTTTTTTGTGGATCCATGGCCTGGTTTCTACATATGTCAAACCCTGCTAGGTTGAAACGTGGGCCATGGTCTCTACAGATTGTCAAGCCTCGCTCTGTTGAAACGTGGGCCGTGGCCTCTACATATTGTCAAGCCCCGCTCTGTTGAAACGTGGGCCATGGTCTCTACATATGTCAGCCCGCGTGAGCCCCCGCTAAGTTGAAACGTGGGCCATTGTCTCTCCATACGTCAAGCCCCGCTAGGTTGAAACGTGGGCCATGGTCTCTACATATGTGAAACCCCGCTAGGTTGAAACGTGGGCCATGGTTTCTACATCTGTCAAACCCCGCTAGGTTGAAACACGGGCCATGGCCTCTACATATGTCAAACCCCGAAGGTTGAAACGTGGGCCATGGTCGCGACATATATGTCAAATATGTCAAGCCCCGCTAGGTTGAAACGTGGGCCACGGTTTCTACAGATGTCAAATCCCCGCTAGGTTTAAATGTGGGCCAGGATCTTTATATATGTCAAGCCTCGGTCGGGCCATGATCTCTACATATGTGAAGGCTCGCTAGGTTGAAACGTGGGCGATGTTTTTTTCTCAGCGCAATGCAGGTCCACTAGATGGATTCCGCATGACAGCAGGGAAAGCACCCAGCTATTGATTATTCCATTTTGGGGACAAGGAATTTTCAGATATCCCGATCATGTGCCAATGGAGTAAGCAATCTGAGTTGTGAGGTGGTGCGGTACCATTGTGTCATGCTGGCACTTCGGAGCTGTTTGAGTTCAGAAATGCTACAGAGGGAGTAGAAGGGATGGGTAATTTGACCCTGAGAGGGAGGTGATTGACGGTGAAGGAGAACCTTGTTCTGAGCTTCTGTTACTGTAAGGCAAGCTCAGACCAGTGAGCCCGAGGGGCGCCACAACGGAAGGGAGAAGATATAGCGCGCAGGGAGCCGGAAGAATGAAACATAATAGAATGTTCTGGGGGTGCAGGGTGGTGAAGTATGTGACCGAGGTATTTTACACGGGAGTAGGAGATGCGAGTTGAGGTGGGGACGAGTGACGGAAGAGTTAGGAGAGAAGATTTGTGAGTTGCTGCCATGAAGGAGGATGGCTTGGACTATGTGGGGGTATATTTTGAATTTCTTTTTGGGAAAGATAAGGGAGTTGCGGAAGAAGGGTTCAAGTTGTTTAAAAGCAATAATTAGGCTTGTGAGCAGCGATATAAGACGTCAGGTACTGAAGATGATGTAGGAGCCAGGTAGGAATCTAGGTATTAAAAAGCAGAGGCGGGAGATCGGTTCCCCCAAAGAGCTGGGATCTGGGTGGAGGCCGTAAGCGGATGCGCAGTGCGGACAGGAGCATGGTTGATGAGGTGTAAGAGAGGTAATGATAGAAAGAGAGATATAGAGAGAGAGAGAGAGATAGATAGAGAGAGATGGGGACAGAGGCCTGAATAGCAAGGAGTTGACATTTTGCTCCGTTAAAAAGGAGACCATGCGCATTTCGAGGTGCTGCTGTACATGTAGAATTCGGTGGAGGGTTTCTGGGGTACGAGCCATGAGGATTGTATCATCCGCAAATTCTAGATCTGTGAAAGGATGGTTGGGGGAGTAAGTCCAACGGACGTAACCGAAAAGAGTTTCAAAAGAGGAGTGGAGATCTGCAGTACGGGCAGCGAGAACAATGATGAAGAGGCATGGGCTAAGTGGGCAGCATTGTCGGGCACCCCGCATAAGGAGAAAGTAGGAGGTTGATTGGTTGGTTCTGAGACAAAGAAGAGACCATTGGAGTATAGGGCCATGATGGCGGATGTACAATGTGGAGGGGCTCCATATCGTAGAAGGGCGCTGTTGAGTGCTGCGTACCAATCCAAGAGAAGAGAGGTGGAGCGGCTTTCGAAAATTTCATAAGCCGGCGGACGAGAAAGAGTGGTATTGTTGTGGTTGAAGATGGGAGCCAAGGGCTCTAGAAAGGTTGATTTGGAGCATAGAAGCAAAAATCTTGTAGATGGCGTAAGCGAGAGAGATTGGGCGATGGCTGGATGGGGAGCGACTGTTTTTTTGGTTGGCCTTTTGTAAACCATGATGATTTTTGCGAGCTTCCATTGACCGGGAGCGGATCGTAAACTGAAGCAGTGGCTAGTGGGAAAGGAGTTGTTTTTTAAGGGGATGATGGAGCAAACGGATGGCCTCCATGGGGAGGTTGTCGGGGCCAGGGGCTCTCCTTGAGCGAGATTTGCGGAATGCATAATGCATGTCAGTGAAAATAAAAGGGGCGTCTAATTCCAAGTGTGGCGGAGCGAGGGGGTCAGAAAAAGGCCCGGGAGTATCAACATGCGACTATACCTTGTCGCGAAGATGTTGTGCCACACCCAGGGTGTGGCTTTTGGGTTTTAGGACCTGTAGCGCCGTCAGGATAATTGACGGGTTGATTGCGAGGGAGGTATTTGGATCGGACTCTTTTTAGGGTCCTCCTGTGATCGGCTGCAGATGTGGAGTGGTGGTCAGCAGTGATGCGTGAAAGAACCCCAATTTTTAATCTTTTCGAGCGGAGCGTTCAGCTCGGTTGCAGAAGAACTTGTGATCCTTCGGGGGAGCAGATTGCAATTCCTGTGCTAGCTGCTAGTTGGAGAGTACCAGGTGTGAGAATTTTTTGGCGACTTGAGATTTGGGAGATATTGTTGGTAAATGAGATGGTGGCTTGATCCGGATTGCCAGAAGTAGAAGGTGGAGAAGGGAGGGGTGGGGGCAGCGGGCGAAAGAGGAGAAGCGACCAACAAGAGAGCGAGAAGTTGCGCCGCGAGAGGCGTTGGAATTTGCTTTTTTCGTTTCCCGGTATGCTTGTATGGGATTTGACCTTGTGAAGAGAGACGTGAGAAAGGGAGCAAAGATGAGCCAAGTAATCGAGGAGGAGTGAAGCGAGCGAGTCAAGATGCAAAGCGATACCAGGGGGGCTTGAAATCTAGGAGATAGGAAGTGGCCTCCAAGAGCCTGGGGTTCGGCAGTGTTGTTGGAGCCTTTGGTCAGGAATGGGGAATGCGACGTGGCCGAGAAAACCTAGGTCGAGCTCTTGGAAGTATATCCCTCAACCGGCAGGGTTAGCGTAAGAGACGTTTCACTGGTCTGGACAGGAACCATCAGTGAAGATGTTCAAAGGAGGAGAAGTAGTGGAGGGGTGAAAAAGGAGATTGAAATGGCGCATGATATTATGTTGATAACCAATTTTGCGTTCTGGTTGGCTGAAGTCTGTTTAATAGGTGGACGGGATGGTTGAGCGTGGGCAAATCGTTGGAGCTGGAGGTTAGCGGAAAGGAGAAAACGGCGATGATGCCATGGTAGATGAATGTCTGGGAGGGAGCGGGCAGAGCGGCAAAGGGGGTTGTGCTCAGTTTTGCAGATGACGTGGTCGAGAACAGCGCGTGAGTCGAGAGTGGGAGAGGATGAAGGAGGAGGATCGGGGACAATTTCGGCGCAAGTGGTTAGTTGGTTGGGCGGGCGAGGTTTCCTAGAAGATACGATTGCGAGGTCGTTGGAAATGAGACATTGAATAAGATGTGATCAGTTGGTGTGAGGGTAATGATCTTCAAACATTTCAAGAGCGGAAATAATTGTACCGATGTGGTCTGGGAGGCCGGTCGCAAAGTTTAAAAAAGAGACGTGTGCTGAAGCCTCCGAAAAGAATTGGGATCTAGCAGGAAGAGTGGTGTGAGTAAAGAGAGTGGAGTTGGTTCCAACAGGAGTCTTTGTGTGATTGGTCGAGGGAAAGATCTTGGAGTTGACTGACTGGGAGCATAAATTGAGAAAACAGATGATTTGTATGGGCGGGTATTGGGGATGAGGACAGCAAGGCGGGAGTTCCATCGATGAAAATCATAGATGAGGGGGAGGAGGGGAGTAGGGACGGCAAAACCGACCCCGGCGTGGCGGTCGGTGGGTTGTCCACGGAGAAGGTAATGCGTAGCTGGGCTGTTTTACTAACTTGCACTTTCCGCAAAGGGCGCACCGGTCGGGTGAAGGTGAAACCCCGCCAGTATAGGGTGGAAAGGAGATACTGTCGGTACAGGCGGCGAGAGAGGTGGCGTTCCGATGAGCATTTTTGGATATGCCTGTGTTTTGCTTCCGTGGAGCGGACGCGTCTTGAAGAGTTGCCCTTTGACGCACGGCAGGATTCGTGACCGCTGGTTGTAAACGAGGGAGAGTTATATGGATAGGAGGCGATGTGTCCGAGTGGAAAACCGCGGTCTCCCGGCATGCCGCCTGCTCAAGCTGTTGGGGAATAAGGAGCTGTTTACGGCCTGTGAGGTAGACGCATTGGCGTTTTCCATTGCGATAGTGCCAAATAGAGGCGTGCTAGAATAATGGCAGACTTTACGGACAAGCGCGCCATTTCTGAGTTGCAATGGTTGAGATTAAAGTGTTTAGGAGTGTTGTAAAAGGTCCAAGGTAGAGTTGAACAATTACAGGTAGGACAAGAGGAGTTGCCGTTGGTATATCTCATGGTGAAATTGGTGGGAGCAAGGGGGGAGGGAAGAAGGGGAAGAGGGGGGGGGAGAAGGAAAGGAAGGAAGAAAGGGGAGGGAAGGAGAGGAAAGAAGAAGAAGGAAGGGAAGGGAAGAAAGGGAAAGGTAGAGAAAAGAGAGAGAAAGAGAAAAGAAGAAAGGGAGGGAAGAAACAAAAATGAAAGTGCCAGCGTGGAAGTTCGGAAGCCTCAGCAAACCCTGGCGCAGAGCAGCAGACCATTTTTTGGGCGAGGTGCAAGAATGCAATTTCTGATGGATTGAGCCAGCTTGAAAAGAGTACAACTGATAGATCCAAGCAGTTGGAAGAAGTTGTAAAGAAGTGGACAATAACAGTGTATTCTTCCAATCGGTGTATCCTTACAATGGCTGGGGCCCTGCCCTGGGTCTTTGGAGTTGTGCATTGATTGGAGGGTTTTCCTCTTTTGAAAAAGTATGGTGCTGCAATAGCAGCATTGCCTTACATTCAAAGCATCCTTACAGTGGAGACTCTGTGAGTTTGAAAGGTCTTGGACCTTGAAGCTGCTGTGGCAGCCTATCCCTACAGTTAGTGTGTCCTTACCGACTCTGTGAATCTGAAAGAAGGCCTTGGACCTTGAGGCTGCTGTGGCAGCTTCTCCTTACAGCCCGTGTACCCTTGCAATGGTGACTCTGAGAGTGTGAGGCCATGGTGGCCAAAGCGCTGCGGTGTGAAGGTTCCTGACAAGAGGATTTTTGTTAACGAAGAGTAGCGCCATGGCGCGTAGTGAAATGGGATATATAGAAAAACCATCCAAATCAGAACAAATGCACAAGCATATCAGAGTCCTGTATGAACTTGGAGAGCTTCTCTGCAATGTCATAAAAATGGTGCTGCTGGAGCCCAATGGTTTGCTCAATCGTGGTTGTGACTTCCTTGTTGAAACATTGTGGAGTGATGTCTGTGAGCTTGAAGGATGAGCTTCATCGATGGCAATGATGATGTTGGTGGCAATGAACTCACCCCAGGCGATCATGTCGACTCTGGAGAGATCTGGCTCCATGATCTTGATGTTTGTGGATTCATAATCGGGCTTGTGCTCCTGAATGAGCCTGGGGATGTAGAAAGTGAACCAGCTGATGATGGGGTAGCGGTCATGAACTTCTTGGCGGCCAAGGGAGTGGCCTGAAGTCCAAAGCCGTGGGGAGTTCCTCTGAAGATCTGGCAACTTGAGGCTTGGATTGATGTGGAAGAGGAAGGAAATGTTGAACTCTGGAATCAACCGACAGGAAGACAATGGTGTAGTTCTTCCAATCTTCTGCTGAGAATTGGTTGAGTTAGCGGCAGTTCCCTGAGTAAGGGAGCTGGAGGCCGAGGTAGTACTCAAAGTCGAGGTCGTTGTAAAGTTCAAAGGAAGAGAGGAAAAGATCTTCCTGCAATGTCTTGCGCCATGAAAGGGAGGCGGGAGGATATCCTGGTAGAAGTTCTTTCAAGCTTGCCATAGTTCTTGTGGTATTCACATAGAGAACATTCTTCTACAATGTAATCAATCTGGAGTCCTGCGTGTCCAGCTTGAGCTGAATGTAGTAGGTTGCTAAGAAAGTGCGTGCGTAGAATTGCCTGCGTGCGTCCTGGAGGTGTTGAAAAGATGGGGGAATGGAATGGCTGTTTCATGGTACTTCTTCATGGCTTCTGATAAGGATTGTTGGAGGTGAGTTCTCGACTGGTCTCTTCTTGGAGAGTGCTGCTTCTTCAAGATCTCCTGATTCTGGATTGAAATGCCGAGCCTTGTCATTGAGGATGTTGATGCTAAGAAAATCATTTCCTGCCTGCCGTGATTCTCGGAGTGTATTGACTAGGGAGGGGTCCAAATCCATGATCTCGATGTCCTTTGCCTGGAGAGCATCTAAAAATTTCTTCCAAATTTCTTGGAGGAGGTGAAGTTGACATCTGCTTTTTGGATGGGGAGGATGATCTTTCTGAGCCTCCTTCCTGTCTGAACTTGGTGATGGGTGCAAGTTCTTCCGGAGAAAGTTCCATGGTTTTCTACCCCGAAGCATCTGCAATTGAAAGTGAAAGCGAAGTGGTCAAGGGTGAACCAGTGGGACCACCCCAAAGCCCAATAACGGCAAGGTGAAGGCCTAGGGGAATGCAAAGCAGATGTAAATAACAGGAAGGTGGAGAATGCCAAATGCCAAATGTTGTCTGTGATTGAAGCAGCAGTGGAGACTGCTGAAAGTGGGCGCAGCTTGGCTTGTACCAAATGCCTCAGTTGGCTTGTGCCAAATGCCTACACGTCGGCCATGATCTTTACGTATGTCAAACCCCGCTAGGTGGCCATGGTCTCTACACATGTCAAACCCCGCTAGGCCGAAACATAGGCCATGGTCTCTGCAGATGTCAAACCCCGCCAGGCTGAAACTTAGGCCATGGTCTCTTCAGACGTCAAACCATTTCATGGTCTCTACTACGTTATGAATATGGTTCTTAGTTGTGCCTATTTTTTTGGATTGTCATTTCCATATAAGTTGCGTGGTGATTCTCAGGTGGCGCATTTTTCGCTATGTTCAGCATCAGCCTGTTGGGGGGAGACAGGTTGGTTGGTGGTGAACTTCCTGGTTCATCTCATGGCATCCAATGGTTCAAAGGCCGTTTGATGATCACTATGGTTGGCTTTCAAAGATGGATCAAGCAATCATGACTTTCTCGTTGCCGTTTTTTTTGGGACACATTCAGCCGGTGTCCTACAATCGACAATCGCGGATGAGCCGCGGATGTTTTTGGTCCCGATGGTGGACTTTAATGACAGTATACTTGACGGTGCGATTCGGCGGCTGCGATCATAGCCATCGAAGTGACATTTTATTGGTTTATTTGAGTATTGTTTTTCCAAATCAAGGCAATTGTTAGAAATACAATGAACGTCAAATGATTAATACAGTCAGCACATGACAAAAAATTGTCGCAAAATTCACCTGCAACTGACGCTGGCTTCTCTGCTCAGTAGCGGTAGCCGCCCAGCCTTGAGGACAAAAAGATGGCGGTTGACACCATATGACAATGACATCTTATGATCATTGGATCAATATCAATGGCAATGGTAATGGCGAGTCATGTGGTTGATGGTGATCATCATGACCATCGTTGATCATGCTCAAACATCTAAGTTTTTCGTGAAAGCTGGTGGAAATACAGAGCTGTGCCAAAAGTTCGCCCTACCTCAGCGACGATGCCAGGCGCCGCTGTGGGACAAGTGGACATGGCGTCCAGTTGTGAAAGTCGGGGAGCTAGAGCCGCTAGGATGCCATGCTCTTAATGGCAGTGGTATACCTTGCCTCTTAATGCTTGAAATGGATCGAAGTGGATTGCTAAGATTTGGTTTTTTATAGTCTGCAGGTGGACATGCAGATCATGGCAGTCATGTCATACCATGCTGGTGGATCAGCCTTCAAGTGATTCAGTTTGATCAACGTGAACATTGCGAATGTCTCATCCCATTCTCCATTGGCCCCTCACCATGGTGAATTTTCTCATCTCATTCTTTTCATCTTCCCATTTGGGCTTAAGTGGCGAGTCGGGTCGGATGGCTGATGCGAATCATGGTCCGCAAAGTGTTTGGAGCACTGCATTGTTTCTTCTCTTTTACACCATCTTATAGTAAAAGTCTTATGGATTTAGTGCCATGTAGTACCTGGTTCGGTACCATGTAGTACCTGATTTGGTACCTATATGAACTGGAGTAGTGCCTGGATTTGGCACCATGTAGTACCTGATTTGGTACCATGACCTGATTTGGTGCCTATATTTATTAGTTATATTAGCCCATAGGTGCCAAGTGTTTGTAGCAGCAACGAGTCATCTGTGTGCCTTTCCGAGTGCCAGGTCATGGGACGCCGACACCTTCCTGCAGGTGCAGACATGCCGACCCTGGGAAGCCAGATTCTTTCGTTAGGTGCTTAAGCCAGGAAGAAAGCGGGTGTGCATAGAGGCTTCGTTGGGCTCATCTGGGACAATTCGTGGGGTAGGTGGGATATAGGAACAGTGAATTAGCTGTGCCCAGATTCTTTGTGATGTTCGAAGTTGTTTTGTGTTATCTTTTGGCTTCACGCTGGTGTGCGTAGAGGCTTTGTTGGGCTCATCTTGGACAATTGGTGGGGTAGGTGGGATATAGGAACAGTGAATTAGCTGTGCCCAGATTCTTTGTGACGTTCGAAGTTGTTTTGTGTTATCTTTTGGCTTCAGGCTGGTGTGCGTAGAGGCTTTGTTGGGCTCATCTTGGACAATTCGTGGGGTAGGTGGGATATAGGAACAGTGAATTAGCTGTGCCCAGATTCTTTGTGACGTTCGAAGTTGTTTTGTGTTATCTTTTGGCTTCACGCTGGTGTGCGTAGAGGCTTTGTTGGGCTCATCTTGGACAATTCGTGGGGTAGGTGGGATATAGGAACAGTGAATTAGCTGTGCCCAGATTCTTTGTGACGTTCGAAGTTGTTTTGTGTTATCTTTTGGCTTCAGGCTGGTGTGCGTAGAGGCTTTGTTGGGCTCATCTTGGACAATTCGTGGGGTAGGTGGGATATAGGAACAGTGAATTAGCTGTGCCCAGATTCTTTGTGACGTTCGAAGTTGTTTTGTGTTATCTTTTGGCTTCACGCTGGTGTGCGTAGAGGCTTTGTCGGGCTCATCTTGGACAATTCGTGGGGTAGGTGGGATATAGGAACAGTGAATTAGCTGTGCCCAGATTCTTTGTGACGTTCGAAGTTGTTTTGTGTTATTTTTTGGCTTCACGCTGGTGTGCGTAGAGGCTTTGTTGGGCTCATCTTGGACAATTCGTGGGGTAGGTGGGATATAGGAACAGTGAATTAGCTGTGCCCAGATTCTTTGTGACGTTCGAAGTTGTTTTGTGTTATCTTTTGGCTTCACGCTGGTGTGCGTAGAGGCTTTGTTGGGCTCATCTTGGACAATTCGCGGGGTAGATGGGATTTAAGATATGAACTGAGGCGGGCAGATTGATGATTTTTTACAGTTGAAAGGGCGTGCTTTCGCTTGGCTTGGTTTGTAACTAAGATGACCGGATAGATGCTTCAAGTATATCCCTAGCAGATCAATGGGTTTGCGAACCATCGACACCTTCAGCCAGCCCTGGATGAACCACCCGGCTTGCGGACAAGGCGTGTTTCATCTGGCTGAGAAACTGGGAGATGCAAGTTGAACCGACCTCATCGGGTGGCGCTTCATGACCGCTACCCTCCAATGCTACAGACGCAGGCCTGAAATTGAACAAGAAAGATGCGTGGGCTCATCTAGATGGATAAATTGATGTATCATACTAGTGCTTGGCGTGGTGTAGCAAAAATCATGCTCTTGCAGGTAGTTAAGACGGGAAATGGGCCCAGTGATGCTATCCCACAAAGCCAGCGTGCAGGTTGGTGAATGAATTAAGTGCTTTATCCATTGGAATGGAATTTGGACTGGGTCTTTTTGACCAAGTGAAAGTTCCACCGCGTCTAGAGCTCACCACACTCGATGGGGCCGAAAACATTTCTTTCCTTTTCACTTTCACGACTTCTCACCTTGAAGAACCTTCGAGCGACATGGATCAAAAGAGAACGGAAGGCAAGCAAGAACAGAAAGCACATAGGAAAGAGAACAGAAAGGAAAGAAGAGACAAAGAACGATCTTCTCCTTGCAGCTTTACAAGCTTGAGCAAGACCGCGATGGGAAGGAACAGATGGAGGTGGAAGCGTGCCACCTGAGTCTGTCACTGACAAGCGGAGAGCGGTGGACAGCTTCAAATGTCCCAAATTCAAGCAAGCTCTTGGGGTTCGGATCTATTCCATCTATTCCTAGGATCCAAGGGACTGTAACTTGGTGCAGTGGCCATGGAGGTGTGATTTGTTGCACAGCGCACTTGCGCAAGCGGCACAGGTGGAGGAGTCGTTGCAGCTCAGTGGCTTGGGCCGGTCTTCGTAAGCTGATCTCGGGCAGTGCCGTTCGGTGCGGTGCCACTCAGCCGGGGAGTCCCCGGGTCCTCGACCCTTCGGCCACGTCGCAGGGTGACTGCAGAGTTCCATAGGAAGAACTGGGCCTCGAACTGCGATGACAATGAAGCAGTACAATTGTGACAAAGATCTCGTTGGTACCATAGAGCTGTCGTCTTTCCGATAAGTCCTGAGTCCCAAAGAGTGAGCTCCGGTTTCCAGAGTCTCCAGTCAGCCCTCGACCGACGAAGCACAGTCCTCGAAATTGACCAGAAGGTCTTGTCTTGGATGCAATGTTTTTTGAACGACACCCACACATGCTGCTGAATCCGTTGCACCGAGGTTTGCAATCTAACGCGACATTTTGCACAGTTTGAAATTTGAAACATAATCTTACTGTGATATAGTGCATTTTAACGCGACAATACATTTACACAGTTTGAGACATATCTCCGCCCAAAGCGCGATTGGTCATGGCTAAATTGCGAAGTTGTCTTGGAGACCTGCTAGCTAGGTCCGGTAGTTCCAAAGCACCCAAGAGTGACGACTTTGCACACAGATTTCTGTGAGAAGCTGAAGGATGTCAGTGAGGTTTCTGTTCATCCTTAGGAAACATTTATTCAATACCTTTCTAAGTTGTGTATTTGTCAATACCTTTAAGTATTTGCATTTATTTGTCTCTGCACCGAAGGTGAAGAGTCTGAAGAGCCTTCATTGATATATTGTTTGTATGCAGAGTGTAAAGATATATCCACTGCACTCACCCATGTCATGTCATGCTCAGTTGGATGTGTAGTTCTGTTCTTATCAGTGTGACAGTTGATGCATGTCACAGGTCTACATAGGCCACTGCGCAAGGATGACACGCCACTGGATGGTGGCTCAAGGCTCAAGCAACGCAAGAGACCGAGCTTAGAAGTGGGCCGCCGTGTTTTGAGATGGTAGCGGAGCCCAGTGATCCTAAGGGAGGACCTTTGGTGAGGGCTCCGAGATTCCAGGTCATGTTGACCTCCATGGCGCTGTGGATGGCGCTGATGATGGTGGCAGCTGATGGTGGTGGCAGAGAACTTGGGGCGCTTGGCATGGCTGAGTCCTTTGTGAACATGCCTATGGAACCCAAGGCAATGGAACACCACAGGTGGAGCTGCAGAAAATTCGAAGCCTATGACTTAGGCGATGCTGAACGACAAGGAGAAGGTCAACGAGAAGTTCAGCAAACAAAGTGTGCACACACACATGGACAAGTACAATAGGCCTATGGATGGATGTAACTACATGGAGAAGTACAAGTACTAGTGCAACAAGCTCATGGACAAGCCCGGGAAATGAAACATGTACAACATGGACATGCGCATGCAGAATGTGGAGAGATGAGATGTTGAGCCAGGCTGGCAGATGGTACAGTCGTGGCAATGGAGAAGCCTGGAACTTGGTGAACGAGAACTTGGTAAAAGAGATTGAGCCCAATGACAAGCACGGCAAGATGAACCACTTCTTGGAGATGAATGAGTATGACATGATGGACTATGAACAGCACTTGGTGATCAATGAGTTCAAGATCTTCGATGGAGCATGGTTCTTGGTGAACGTTGTCTACATGCATGGCTTTGCACATTGCTTGGACTACATCGACTTCATCGACTCCAAGATCCTTGGGTATCACTACATGAACAACTACGTGGACACGGTCTTCAATGGTTGGCAGTGCTTGGTGAAGTATGCCTTCAAGGTCAGTATCTTCATCCTACGTTTCTTCCTCTACATGGTGGACAAGGTGATGGCTATGTGGTATTCTGGCTTGGCGCAGCTTGCAGCTATGTGTCTTTGCAGTTTCTCCTGGACAAGGTCTACAAGCAGAGCAATGGCAAGCTTGGCCCTGAGCTGGATGGCATCTATGCCAATGGCGCTGGCACAAGAACTACGAGGCAAGGAGTTGCAGTTTGGTTTGATGGCAGTCATCTTGGTTTGCATCACATGGTTTCTGGCATTGATGAACAGAAATTGGATGAGCAGTCAATGGATGAAAACATGTCAGACTTCACGAGTGACACGTTTAGAGAAAAGATGTGCTGGCAGAAAGCGTTGCAGTGAAAGACGAAAGTTGATGGCTGTGATTTTTCTTTGCAGTATTGGACATGTTCATGCAATGGAGCAACAACAAGCAATGCTGGAAAGAGTCGTGGCATTAGCTGAAGCTGCCACACGAGCAGCTGTAGCAGCCGAGAGAGCAACAACCCAAACAGTGCAAACAGCAGCAACTGTAGCCAAAGCAAGTTCAGGTGCAGTTTCAGATGGACTGCAGGCAGCATCAAAGGTGCTCAAGAATCCCGACACATATAGTGGAGAAGATGCAATGGGCTTTGCATCACGGCGTTTCCAGTTTATGTCATGGTTGACATATGGTGATTCAAGGTTTATTCAAATTCTGGAAGCTATAGAGGCCAGGGATTCAATGCCAACAATGGCAAGCTACAATGAAGTTGAGAAAGAGATGGCTCACAAGTTGTACGCTGTTTTGACAAGCTATTGGCGTGGCCGATGCGCTCATTTGGACAAGGCGCATTCAATGACCAGAGATGGTTTAGCTGTTTGGTATAGTTTGATGAGAGAGTTTGAGCCTAGCTCAAGACAGAGGAGCTTGGCGCTAGCACAGGCGTTGGCGTCATACCCAACATTTCCCAAAGACCGATCCTGTATGGATTCCATATTGATCTTTGAGGAGACAATTCAAAGGTTTGAAGAGTCCTCCAACACCAAGTACCCCGATGAACTCAAAATAGCCACTCTACTTCGATGTTCCCCTGCAAAACTCAAAGAGCATCTTCAGCTCACCTTGGATGACAAGGCGACTTGCAACCAGGTCAGAGAGCAGATCCTCAACTTCGAGCGTGTGTCGAAGAGTTGGAGCCATGAGACAGTGTTGAAGTCTATCCATGATGCCAACAAAGGCGTTGCCGATGGACCCGTGCCAATGGAGGTAGATAGAGTTGAAGGCAAATCCAAGGGCAAAGGAAAGAAAGGAAAAGGAAAAGGTGGTTGGAACATACCTTGAGGTGCAGGTCGTGGTTTTGGTGGTAGAAGTGGAGGAAAAGCAAAAGGCAAGGGCAAGAAAGGACGTGGAAGAGGCAACAGCAAAGGAGGAAAGTCAAAGGGCAAGAAAGGAAAGAGCAAAGATGGTCAGAAAGGTAAAGCAGCAGGTCACAATCAATGCAAAATCTGTTTTGGCTATGGTCACTGGAGTGGGGAATGCCCACAGCGTATGGATGTGAACAACGTGCAGCAAGATACTAGCTACACTGGCTCTCCAGTCAACAACAATGGAGCTTCGTCGTCTTCAACGTATCGACAAGGTCAAGGTGAACAGTCTCCAGTGCAACCGAGAACAGGAACAGTGCGCAGAATTTTTTACATCACTCCTTCCTCGTCATATCCTTCTTCTCCTACATCACCAGCTTCAAGTAGGCATGTGAGAATGGTTGAATTTCTGGATAGCTCAGATGAAGATATGCATGTGAGAAACGTGACCGGTGAGGAATGGATTATTTTGGACAGCGGTTCAGATGTGAGTTTGCTTCCTGCAAGGTTTTCAGTGGATGGCAGTTCAACACAACTGCAGGTACCAGTTTGCGAAATTGTCAAGGTGGAAAACTCAAGACACGTGGCACTAGATACACAGACCTTCAAGTGCGTGACGTTGAAGGTGAAGAAGTTCTTTTGCGTCATGAGTTTATTGTTGGTGATGTGACTACAGGTTTGGTTTCGCTTGGGCAGTTGTACCAAGCAGGTTGGAAAATTGATGGTGAAGGCACCGGTGAAATTTTCCTGATAGATCCACAAGATCAAATCAAGGTGCCTGTGTACTTCAAGAACAAGTCGTTTGCTTTTTGAGCGTTTGTGCGTCATGTTGAAGAACGAGAAGATGATGGTGACTCAGATGTTTCTTCTTTTCATGTGCATACTATAGTTCAAGTGTTTGAAGAAATGGAGCTCTGTGATTTCAACACGTGGCAGATGACAGAGTCTGGAACACCCTACATCAAGAATGTGGGGAACAGCTATGTTGATCCCTGACCAACTTGGGGGCACTATTGGCCTTTCAGAACAACTCTAGTCAGAAGGACAAACACCACCGACAGTTGGACATTGGTGGAGATGACACAACGTTTCATGGACAAGGATGAGCCATTTGGATTGATTGATGAGTGCATATTCAACATGGACGGCGAGTGCGAGATTCTCACAATTCTTGGAGTTGAAGAACATGGATTTGAAGAGTTTGGAGATTTACTAGATGAAGATGAAGAGGTGGATGGACCACTTTGACTTCCTGACTCACAACCCCAGGAACAACAACCAGCAGTTCCAGTTGAACAACGTCAAGATGTTCCTCAGTGTGCAGTTTCAGGCGAGGCTATTCAAGTGCGTGAACCTCCAGGTCTTTCTCTACAGGATCCTCTTGGTGGAGAAGAACCTGCAGCAGCTTTGGCGGATGTAGCTTTTCCTGAGATTGAATCTGTGGAATTGGACGATGGTTTGATTTTGACACGTGAGTCTCCAGTCAAAGACTTGCGAGCGGGTTGTCGTTTGCTGGGAATTTCACAAGCTGGATCAAAGGGCAAAATGTTCGAGCGTATCAAGAAGAGCTATGTTCAAGGTATGAGACGTGCAGCAATTGACATGGCAAGAGCAGAATATCAACAAGAAGAACATCCTGCACAACCAGCACACCTAGCAGTTCGTCAACCAACTCAGCGTGAACGTTCTCTCCATGAATTGACTCACCTACCCTACAGGGATTGGTGTCCGTTTTGTGTCTCAACTCGCGCTCGAGGTGACTATCATGCAAGTCATGCTGACCCTGATCTTGCAGCAGAACGAGATCGACCCACAATCCAAGTTGGTTTTTACTTTTGTGAAAATCGTGACAAGTCAGAAGGTTCTCTTGGGGTCAAGCCGATTTTGCTTATGGTGGATTCATGGACAAGATATGCACATGCAGAACCTATCAAGCCCAAGAACGCCAAGACGGTTGGAAGTGCAATTTCAAAATTTGTTGGAAGTCTGGGTTATGTTGGTGCGGTTGAAGTTTGTGGAGACAATGAGAATGTTTTGGTCAGTGGCATGGAATTTTTCAAGCAAGTTAGAGCTCGTCAGGGCTTTAGCACAACGGTCACGACCAATCGCAACTACAGCAAGGATCGCACTAGCATTTGTGAACGAACAATTCAGACTGTCCGCAATTTGCAGAAGACACTGGTAATGCAACTGGAGGAATCAATCAAGTGCAAGATTCCACAAGGACACACAGTTCTTTACTGGGCGGCAATGCACTCCACTTGGCTCTACAACAGATATCATACTCACAGTACCACAAAGATCACACCATACCAAGCTGTGAATGGACGACCCTATCACAACAGAATCGCTTGTTTTGGACAGGTGACATATGGACTTGATCCGAAAGGATCCAAGTATCGACCTACCTGGAAGAAAGGGATATGGTTAGGAAAAGATGGTTCTGATCATGATGTTCTGGCTACAGCAGCTGGCACGATCACAAGGACAAGGTCAATTCGAAGAACAACGCTTACATGGTCTGCAGATGAGATTTTGAGTTTGGTAATTGGACCGTGGGACACCACGGGCTACACGCAGTCAGAGGCGAAGCAGAAACCAGTTTTGGCTTTACCACCGAGACCATTTTTTGATGAAGAAGCAGAAGCAGTCAAAGGACTTCAAGACTCAGATGACGAACGTGAACAAGCTCAACAAGAAGTTCCTTCCAATGCATATGAGCCCACAACACCCGATGGAGAAGGTCCTCGACTTGAAGATGTCACAGAACGAGATGATGGTCGAGTTCCTGTTCCTTCTCTTCCTCCTCTATGTGCACTACCGGTTGATCCCGAAATGGAAGCACCACAGACGCCAGAAGAGATGTTTATGTCTGGCGCAGGTGGGGCTAGTCCTTCAAGCCCTACAATGGATGTAGACCCATCAGGTCATGCAGCATCCAAACACAAGGCAGAGACTCAAGGTGGCACAGTAGCAAAAGCTTTGAAGTTTGATAGCGACCCAGTTCCAGAGCCAAAAGTCAGAGCGGCAAAGATGGACGTTAGACGTGTTGGCGAAGTGGAGATCACACACAATGATGTGATTGGTTTGGAAGATGACTGGGAATTTCTTCCTTATGAGGATGTAGACTCAGAGGACGAAGGTATCAACAAACGTCTTGAAGAAGATGGCCCACCTACAGTTTCTCCTGAGAAGCTTGCGGAGTTGGATGCACAAGCAGCTTTAGATGAGGTTGCCAAGTTGTATGAAATGCACGTGATTGCACCAGAAGAGATTGATGTGAGAACAATCCCGAGCCACAAGCTCGTCGACACCACTATTGCAAGTGATTGGCGCTACAGAGAGAACAAGTGGCGCAGAAGATGCAGGATAGTAGCAAGAGAGTTCAAGTCCGACAACACAGACGAGAACAGCTTTGCACCAACCACAACCTTTGGTGCAGTTCGTATTCTCCTAGTCCTCAGCATGGTTTTCAATTGATGCTCACTGGAATTGACGTGAAAGATGCTTTCTTGTGTGTTGAACAGCAAGAAGAGATGTTTGTGGTAATCCCTCAATGGATCAGAGATCTATCTCCAGAGGACAAGTCTACAGTTTGGAGGTTGAAGCGTTGTTTACCAGGACAACGAAATGCAGCTTTGCGATGGTTTGAGTATTTCTCCAATTTGTGTCAAAGTGCTGGAATGGAATCTTACAAGGGATGTCCCACAATCAGGAAGTTGGTGAACAGTGAGAGACGAGTGTATCTATCAGTACATGTGGATGATGTGCTGTTGGTTGGAAGTGAAAAGGATTTAGAATGGTTCAAGAAGGAAGTTGCTTCCGGTCTCACGATCAAAGTTGATGGTCCTCATGCACAAGGTTCAGGTGACACGATGTTTTACCTCAAGAAGCGTATTACACTTTTGCCTGAGGGAATTTTGGTGCAGCCCAATGGTACCTATATTCCCAAGCTCATCAACATGTTGAAGATTTCTGGCAGAAGAAAGAAAGGTCTTCCACATCATGCGGTTCTCGAAACATACAACTCAGAATTTCCAGAGCAAGATGTGCTCACAGGCGAAGAAGCATCGTTGTTTCGTTCAGCCTTAGGTTTGATTCTCTATGTTTCTCATGACAGGCCAGATATTTCGTTTGCGACAAAGACGCTGGCTACATGGATGTCCTACCCTTGCATGAGAGCGATGGCAGCTCTCAAGCATTTGGCCCTGTACTTGTCAGGAACAGAGCATGTTGGTGTAATGTTGAGGAAATGTGAAACCTATGAGGATGTGTTTGACCGATGGATTGAAGCAGATGAATGGAGCGATGTAACAAGAGAACAGAGAAAGGATAGAGCGGTTTTCAACTTCGATATCTTCTCAGATTCGTCATGGGGAGATGATCGTTCTACCAGAAGATCAACAAGTTCATGTGTCATGTTTGTGAATGGTGCGTATATCTCAAGTTTCAACAGAATACAAGCAACAGTAGCACTCAGCTCATGTGAGGCAGTATACGCAGCGAATGCAGCAATAGCAGAAGGTTTGTTTTTAGTTCGAGTGTGCAAATTTCTTTGCGGTGATCAAAAGGATGGAAACAGTGGTGAAGTGAAAGTGAAATTGCATATTGACTCATCAGCAGCGATGGGTACAATTCAAAGAGCAGGATTTGGCCGAATGAAACACCTTCAAATCCGTCATCTATTTCTTCAAGATCTCTTGCGGATGAAAGTTTTCAGTTTGCACAAGATCAGCACACAGATGAATCCGGCAGACTTGGGAACGAAAAAGCTGGGATTAGAACGTAGAAAAGATCTCGGGCGACTTATTGGTATTTTCACTGGTGAAGATGAAACGTCAAGACGAACAGAAATTTTGCAGACAAGAAGAGTTCAAATGATATTGATGACAGCATTTCAAGCAGCAGCAGCATCACTTTTGCAGGGATGCTCTTCTCCATCTTCCTTCCTGTCAGGCCAATCAAGTACTTCTCCTACAGCGACCTCTATGGCGGAGATTCGCAGCGGCATGGTGCTTGGCGGAGTGCTGATGCTCATGATGGGCATGTTGGTGATGATGTTTCCCCGTGCAGCTTCAAGATCACGAAGTCGCGATGATCCACAACCAAAATATGCGAATGTTCAACAGTGGACAAGTGAGATGAGAAATTTCTTGGCTACGACATTTGTCTTGTCAGCCAAAGCATACTGGATTGATGGACAGCATGATCAGTTTTCATTTGAGAACATGTTTAACCACCTACGGCTTGCAGCTTTGCTTATGAAGAATGATGAGAAAGAGGCTGTGGAATACTTCACTACAGCGGTTGAGGTGAACGACCCTGAGGAAATCATGGCTCAGGTGAGAAATATGCGGATGTGCATGGATCTTCCTCACGTTAACCTCCTTCACGCCGAGGCTTGGTTATGGGAAGAATTTCGTGATGATTTGCAGCGAAAAGCAGATGCGAGTGATGGAGCTTTCTTTGTTCCAATTGTGGAGCATCGATGGGATACACCTCCGGGAGAAAGTGATCGCGGAGGAGACGAAGACGCAGCATCTTCGAGGAGCTCAATAGCAAATAGAAGTGGAGATGAAAATGTTCGGGAATCACCAGCCCGCGAATTTGAGCTCAGGATGACAATGAATTTACCAAGGTCAGAAGCGATTCAGGTAGCTCAGACTATAGCAGATGCACATGGACGAGAATTGGTGGTCGAAAGACCAGCTGGATCAGATGAACGTGAACATGGAGACAGAGATGGACAAGAACCAGAACCTGGGAGCAGCAACAACAATACGCTTGGAAGGAGCAGTGAAAACACTACTCTGAACAGTAGAACTACTCAGAACACCACAGAGGAGGAGAATGACAAGATCGAGCAAGCTATGGCAGAAGCAAGAGCTAGCCTACGTCGTGGGATTCGTGTCTTGCAGTCGCGAGCTACGCGCTATGAAGAGTTGGGCGACCACGAGGCCGCAGAAGAAGTTCGACGTCAGATCGATGATATGGAAGCAATGGAATCTTCAAGTTGAGGATAGCAATCAGCGCATGCGGCAGCTGTGGTGAAAGCAAAGTGGTGACGCAATCAGTGCATATGAAAGTGAGAGAGGCGAATGCACGTGGAACAGTTTTTCCGCTAACAACTACCTGCGGAACTGTAGAATTTACAAATGTAAGGTGAGGTGCAAATATGTTCCAAAACTTGCAAAATGCAAGAACTTTTGGCAAGGTGGGGTGTAAAGATATATCCACTGCACTCACCCATGTCATGTCATGCTCAGTTGGATGTGTAGTATCTGTTCTTATCAGTGTGACAGTTGATGCATGTCACAGGTCTACATAGGCCACTGCGCAAGGATGACACGCCACTGGATGGTGGCTCAAGGCTCAAGCAACGCAAGAGGAAACAAGTGACCGAGCTTAGAAGTGGGCCGCCGTGTTTTGAGATATGCAGAGATGCGTCCTTGGGGTTCGTGCTGAAAAATGCGAGTCTATTGACGTCTTGCAACTCCCGGGGTCAGTTCACAGCCAGGACATGGTTGCAGCATGAGCTTGCGGAGAACATTCGAACTAGAAATACATCAGCACTCATCTTGTTGTCCCGTAGTCAAGACTTGTACTTCTTGGAAAATGCAACGCATCCTTGATCCGCATTGCGGTAACAAGCCGCGAGAGTTCCCTTGCAATGCTGGGGGATGAAAGGAGCTGTGCCCCGGTGGACAAGCTGAAAAATCACTGAGGTGTTTTTTGTTCGTTGCCGAGTTCATGTTACATCCATTCAGACTGCATTGACAACGACTAACTACCTGGAATCAGAGAGGTATAGCCAGAGAGACACACATGAACAGCTGAACGGAGGTGACTCTCCTTGTGGTTTTCAGCCTTTGCCTTGCTGCCATTTCTGCTGACATCACACGGCTTGAAGGCGGTCGAGAGACATTGACGAAGAGACCAAGACTAAGAGATGCCATGAGCATCCTATCGTTCAGTGACAGTCGCAATCGTCACAAAGAACATCAAAGAACACATGTTAAAACATGTTTTCAAAGATATTTTGAAGAACATTTGGCCCAGAGTTCCGAGGGCCTTTCGCAAGCACCATGGCGTTGATGTGGCTGTTGGTGCTGATGGCATGCAGCTCCCAAGGCGAGCAGTGCTGCCGCGCCTTCCAAAATGGGACCGAGCTACGCAAAGCTGTCGGCGCTTGGAGTCGGAGGGCAGATCCATCTGACACTTGGCAGCATCGGTTGTGAATTGTGGCGATTTTGAGAGATCATTTGGCATTTGGGATGTTGGAGGGATTTGGAATGTCTGAAATTAGTTCTTTGACTGCATCACGATATAATATCACTACCCCGAATCTTGGCACTTTTCACCCATATACCGTCTAGACATTTGCAGACAATAATAGAAACCTTGGCTGAAGGTTGTTGTTTGTGGGGTATCGTATAGTCATGTTGCCTACTGTATGCACGCGTGTGTTTATCTAGGGTTCGTCAGACCGAAATGAGTCAGAATTCCCAGTTTCAATCCCATTGGTTTTGTTGGCCTCTCAAGCCAACATAACACAAATTCAGGAAAAATTGCAGGTGATCTCCACTTACGGAGAAATCGCCAACTGGGATGTTTCAAAGGTGACAAACATGTCGAGATTGTTCCACTGGCACTATGATTTCAATCAGCCCATTGGATCCTGGGACACCTCGGCAGTGACGGACATGGGGGGCATGTTCAGCGGGGCCTACAAGTTCAATCAGCCCATTGGCTCCTGGGACACCTCGGCAGTGACAGACATGCAGAGGATGTTCGAGGAGGCCAAGGAGTTCAATCAGCCCATTGGCTCCTGGAACACCTCGGCAGTGACGGACATGCAGAGGATGTTCGAGGAGGCCAAGGAGTTCAATCAGCCCATTGGCTCCTGGGACACCTCGGCAGTGACAGACATGCAGAGGATGTTCGAGGAGGCCAAGGAGTTCAATCAGCCCATTGGCTCCTGGGACACCTCGGCAGTGACCTCCATGCAGAGGATGTTCTACGGGGCCAAGGAGTTCAATCAGCCCATTGGCTCGTGGAACACCTCGGCAGTGACAGACATGTACTGGATGTTCTACAGCGCCGAGAAGTTCAATCAGCCCATTGGCTCCTGGGACACCTCGGCAGTGAGAGGCATGCGCTGGATGTTCAGCGAGGCCTACAAGTTCAATCAGCCCATTGGCTCCTGGGACACCTCGGCAGTGACAGACATGGGGGGCATGTTCTGCTACACCTACGAGTTCAATCAGCCCATTGGCTCCTGGGACACCTCGGCAGTGACAGACATGCAGAGGATGTTCGAGGTGGCCAAGGAGTTCAATCAGCCCATTGGCTCCTGGGACACCTTGGCAGTGACAGACATGCAGAGGATGTTCGCGGAGGCCAAGGAGTTCAATCAGCCCATTGGCTCCTGGAACACCTCGGCAGTGACAGACATGCAGTTCATGTTCTACGGGGCCAGGGAGTTCAATCAGCCCATTGGCTCCTGGAACACCTCGGCAGTGAGAGACATGCAGTGCATGTTCGCGGAGGCCAAGGAGTTCAATCAGCCCATTGGCTCCTGGGACACCTCGGCAGTGACAGACATGCACATGATGTTCAGCACGGCCGAGAAGTTCAATCAGCCCATTGGCTCCTGGAACACCTCGGCAGTGACCGACATGCGGTTCATGTTCTACGGGGCCAAGGAGTTCAATCAGCCCATTGGCTCCTGGGACACCTCGGCAGTGACCTCCATGCAGAGGATGTTCTACGGGGCCAAGGAGTTCAATCAGCCCATTGGCTCGTGGAACACCTCGGCAGTCAGAGACATGCAGTACATGTTCAGCGGGGCTATCTCCTTTGACACTTCGATTGGCTTGTGGGACATTTCTTCCTTGGAACGTTTCTCAGCCAAGTGGGTGAAGTGGGCGGAGATTCATTTTTTGGACTTTGCTTGGTGCCTCACACTTTTGTGCTGTACATGTTGCCCATGTTTTGCCGATGTTGCCCCTGGCTCCCACAGCCTGAGGTCATGATGGAATGTTCGATACGCTGAAGCCTCCATGCCAACCCGGGAGAGGTCCCGGCCGCAACAATCTGAGGTGTGAACGATGCGACGTCGGAAAATTTGCGCCAGCTCAAAGCTTCTGTCAAGAGTGCCCCGAAGGTTGGGATGGCAGAAGGTTGGGATGGCAGTCGGTTGGTAGCATATGGCTGAAACATGCTGAAACTAGTTAAGGCGGGGAGACCGTCGAGACCATGAAAATGTTCATGGTGTTGGTGTTATCCGATCTGAGCATGGTACTATTGCTAGCCTTGCTAGCTTTGTTCTTCCATGCCTCAGGTTCAACTCCTTCCGAGGAGCGGAGCACGTGCGAAGAGTGCTTGGGGTCGCACTACTCTATGAGCGGCGTCGATGGCTGCTTCCCCTGCAACTTGCCATTGGTGTTGGTGGACAACAAGTGCGTGTCTGGGCAATGAGACCAAGCAATGACATTGTGTTTTCAACGCCGTTTAGAGATATTTTGAGACATGGAAATCCAGCATGTCAATGATTTTTTGTGGTTTTCCGGCTTCAAAGCTGGAAGTGGATGCTGTTTTCTGACCCCTTTCCTTTGACTGCCGGTTGTGAACTGTTGATCGCGTGGAACAGTGACTTAATTGAACTTGCGCGTCCATTGCGCTGATGGCTTGCGGACTGTGTTTTGATCTGAGTGTATCAGTCTTCACGGCCAGCAACCCCTTGTTCTTGCACGAGCATTGAAGTTTTCGAATCTGATTTTTGCATGTCCGTTGTTTCGAAACTAGAGTGGGAGATTTGGAGAAGTGAGATGTTTTAGCTCATGAATCAGACATATCTTGGAGGCCAGAGGGACGCAAATTCTGAAGTGAGATGGAACATCTCTTGCTTAGAAGGCTTGTGTGGGATAGATTGAACTTCTAGAACTGTTTCGGGTTCCATGTTTAATGGCTTCACGTTATTTCGTGACTGCCTGTGTTACCCGTTTTGACTGCCGTAGGTGACCCCTGACCTACCTGGATGGGGTTGGATTATGTTGGGTTAGGTGGGCTTGATGTAACAACCCTCACGCATTGTGATCTCTATCTTGGCATCGTACTTTGGATCCCCTCTTTACTGCGGAAATTTGAGAACCGCAACGCAGATCTATTGTCCCAAACTGACAAATGGCTCAACCACAACCACGAAAATCCAGCGACCAGAAAATTGTTCGGTCCCGCTGGATGATAACTCTGCCTTCTGTGCACTTGCCGTTTATGAATGTCGCACTGCCAAGCAGAATGCGAAATGAACATGGACCTTCAGAATGTGCTAGAACACGCACGCTGCTTTCAATTTTTGACTTGCTCGGATGTTTCAAGACACCCCTGCCTTTCTTCGTATCCGCATGCAGTGATTCATTTCATCATGAGGTCTGGTGGCACCTGCCACTTCTGGTTCTTGGTTTGGTTGCATTGGGGGTCGGTGGTCGCTTAGCCTTTTCGTGGAACAGCTCTCGCAAAGCTCGGAAGATCGAACGCACCCTGGAGGAAGTCTATGCCCAACTTTGGGATGCTTGGTATTCGAAGCGTATCATGTGCCAAGCCCCCCTGACTGCCAAACGAAAGCCTCCATTGGGATAACTTGCACAGCAATACACAGCATGGATGCTTGACCAGGCGGGAGTTTGAAGTTTATCGAGGGCTCAGTTTCTAAATGCCAACATGTTCAACACATGTCATCATATAGAGCGTGAGCCTCTGGGGTGCCTCTCTGAGGATGAGCAACCAGACACGCTCACGGCATACTCGAAGAAATTGAGTCGTCTTGGGCTTCAGAAAGCCAAGTTCGAGCAAAGCGTGTCTGCCATGCGCGTCCGCCAGAGTCAAAGAGCCGGGGTTTCTAGATAGCAAAGCATGTTTTTGACTATGTTGATGCAGCCGCTCTTTCATAAACCTGTTTTCCTGCCCTTGATATTCCACGATGATCTGCGCGCGCCTGTGTTTTGCTCCCAGTCCA